ATTTGGTTCGATTTGAATATAATAAACAAATTAAATTTAAAGTGTCGGTTTGAAAAAAAATTAAAATCAAATCAAGCCATTAACAATTTCAAACCAATTCAAATCTTTAGTAGTAATTTAGTTTGGATTGGTTCAATTTGACAGTTTGGGTGGTTTGAAAGAAGAAAAATTAATCTTCCTCGTTCATCTAGTTAATAAGAAAAAAGATTAACATTATACTAAACATGGAAAATGAATTAACACAATTATGCATAAAATATCCATGGTTTTAAGTAGCTATTGGAAATTTTTTAAATTAATTTTTTATATATTTATTCTTAGTATAGTATAAAAAAAGGTTATATTTAATAAGACGTTAATTAGCAATTTATAAATATAGACAGACAAAATATAATAATTATATAATTCACCTAATTAATATGAAATTATTTTTCAATTATTATCCAATATAACCCAATATCATAATTTGCTATCTAACATAAATTATCAAAGCAAAGGAAAATATCATTTCAAAAAATTGACTGAATTTAAAACAATTATCAATTATTAATATAATTTAATAGTTTGATTCGGTTTGGACGGTTTTGATCCCGAAAATAATAAGCCAAATCAAAAACTTGGTTTAGTAGCACTTCTTCTTAATAAGACATTCCCCGTTCTGTCTTCTTACAAAATCGAATCAAATTAGCAATTTTTAATACCACAGTTTTAGATCGGTTCGAACGATTTAGATGGTTTGATGAATACTTCTAAATTGCGGTATTATAAATTTATAATCTCTTACAAAATCAAGTCATCTCAAAGTAACTAAATTATAAAATTTTGAACATAAATTTTCGGTTCAAATAAAAAAAAAAATCAAACTGAAGCAATACTATTTTGGTCGGTTCAGCTTGACTTTTTACTTAAATCAGTTCATTTAATAAGGTAGTAATTTTAAGTTCGATTATATCGATTTGACTTAATTATCTACTAATAAAATTAAAATATTTGAGTTTAGTTCAGTTTGTATTCATTTTTAGTTTGATCACTGTATTTTTTGGCCTTTGATTATTTTGGTTCGGGTTGATTTGGTTCAGTTGAACCAAATGCTCACCGTTACCTATAAAATAAATAATCAGAAAAGAAGCACTTTATTGAAAATATTAAGGCACATAACACATTTAAATCAAGTGCTAAAAACAATATTGATAGACACATATTTTCATAAATCATGCAATTTTAGCCATTGCTATCGTTATTTATTGTGTGATATTTTCAAGTAATTTTCGAATGAGTTTTTGTTTTTTTATTTCCTAGTTTTCCTTGCATTCTAAATGATATGTTGGAAAAAGATGTTCAAGGTCAAAATTATAGTTTGAACTGTTTTTCTATTAATTGATTAATACAATATTCAAAAACAAAATCAAAGGAGTTTTGTTTTCGTTATACAAGGGAGGAACTTTATCGATAAATCTTGAATCTTAATTTAAAAAAAAGAGGAATAATTTCTTTAAAAAAAATTCGGTAGAAAGGGTATCTTATTGTATTTTTTTTATAAAGATTTTAATTGTTATTTTAAGATATTGGAGTGAATTAATAAAAACTTTTCAAACCAAAATCACAAAATAATTTATGAAAAGTTTAAGAAATAACCAAAGTTTTATGAATGTAATAATCCTAAATTTCTATCTTGAAATGCCAACAATTGCCAATTTTAATCGATTTAAATAACTATCAACACTTTCAAATCATAAGATATTTTCAAGTAATAATATCAATTCACGGAATAAAATAAATAAGATGCTTATATGTGTTTTATGATGCTGCAAGATATAGGAAAGTAATTAGTGAAGGAAGAAAAGGAAACATTTGATGATGACTATCAATCATTTGTATAATTTGTATTCCACGTAATAAAATGCTAAGGAAAATGTAAATACGAAACATGCGACAATGGATTTCGATCTTATCAGATTTGGGTGGACTCAAGTTCGTGCATAAGAAGATCAAAACAAATGAAAAATATTTGCAAGGTAATGGCAATGATAGTATTGCAATTTTATTATTGTATATGTAACCTACAAAATAAAAGTAGTGGCAATAACTTTAAAATAAGTAACATCATTGATTTGAAATATCTAATTAGTTATACATGTTTGGTGTGCTTAAACCAAATTAGAAATTAGGGCTCTTTTGAAATACATGTACTTAAGAAATTCTAATATAGTAAATTTCTTATCATCCTAGAGATGGTTGTTGCTGTGATTAAGCCATTCAAGCATCAAATCATATTTATAGGATTCTAATTAATTCTATATATATATACTTGGTAACCAGTTTTAAAGACCGGAAATTATTAAACTTTTGTTTCTCTCTTCTTTTCCCTTTCTTAAAATAAAATAAAAAATTGCTAAATGAAGAGGAAATGAGCTTCCTGTTCATTCCCTTCCACCAACTACAAACCTGATTATGGACTTGGCCCATAGCCCATAGCTCAAAGATCTAAATAGAGTTCAAATTGAACTAATTATCAAATTTACCCCAAATCTTTTAAATAGTTACAATTTCATCCCAAGTCAGTCTGTATTGTAAACATCTTGGACTTATAATTTAGTTGATTTTTATCCTAATTTATTTTTAGGATGTATTTACACAATAAAAACGGGCTAGAGTAATCTAAACTTATAAAACTGTTGCAAATGTACCCTAAAAGTAAATTAAAATTATAATTTCAATTAAAATAATATAATTATGGATTTGATAAAAGTAAATATAAAATGGACTATTTGAATTCAAAAAGAACACTAGTTATAATCCGAATATTCATATAATAAACAAAAATAATAAAATTCAAGTATCTATATAATAAATAAGAAAATCCAGATCTAGCCTTCGATTTTAAAACTAAATCAATCTTATAATAATAAGATAGATACTAATACTATATTATTTTTCCTCGGAGGATGACAATAAATATGGTAACAATCAAGTCCTCGTGGCTAATCTTTTTTCAAATAAATAATTATTCTGTTGGTAATTGTGCATGCCTTAGTGTTAGACTCAATATACCTCTATGCCCGTAAAGAAAAAAAATTAATTATTTTTATCGGTAAATTCTGAATTTCAATTATTTATAAATTTATCACAAATTTTTTGATAATATTCAGTTGATAATTGCCTGTATATGCCCTCAATATTTAACGAAATGAAATAAACAATATTTATAAAAAAAAATATTAATAATATTCACGCGATATTCTGTCAATATTATAAATGTTGAATATAATGTTTATAAGACGAAGAGATTAGTTTTATAGCCAAAAGTGTAAAAGTACAATTTTTATGGGTTATTATTAATTGCTTCTGCAGATAACCCCTACAAATTTTGACCCAAATGGCTTGGTTAAGGGTCTAAAAAGACAAGAAGATAAAAAGTTTTGCTTAAAAGGAGGGGACACGTGTGAGAAGCTCAGTTAACTCAAAACTGAAAAAGCAAAGGAATGCCATTCCTAATATGCCCCATTTGTTGCATGTTCTCATTTCACTCTCTGGATGATATCTGGCAATGCAAAAACAAGTGTGGTTACAGTTGCAGGAAAAAGCGTACGTTTCAAATGCTTGCCGTTTCAAATCAAAGCAAAGCAATACCCCTCTATCTCTCCCTAATTTTTTTTTTATTTATAAGAAGTTTAATAGGCCAAAATAATACGATGGAGGTAAAAATTTCTATGATTGAGAGCTTTAATTTGAAATCTCTCGCTCTTTATATTAATAAAAAAATCAAACAGATTATTACTGATTAACAATTCTTTTTCTAAATTGTACTTTCCGGACACACTTGTCAAGATTTATATTAAAGAAAACAAAAATAAACAATGAAACAGAATGCCAATATATTCATAGTATAGACCCCACCTTCCCTTTCCTGCCTTGTCTTATCCTCTAAATATGGTTAACCATTTATTATCCACCTAATGCTCATTATTATCTTTATCTTTATTATCCTTATATGTAGACTCACGAACAATCTTATTGATTTATATATGTATAATTTCCAGCTGCAATTATGTTAATGATTGACTATTTATCTTATAATATAAGATATAAAAATGATTTAAAACTATAGCATCTTTCCCTTTCTTGCAATTACGTGATATTTCCATCTATTTATAAAACAAAATTGATTTATACGCGAATAATGGGTACGACAACCTTAAATTTTAAATTTACTTAAAAATATAATCTATTTCAGCTGATTTAACCGCCAGTTGATTCTTCCATTTCTTCCTTTTATTTCCTCCTTATCTCTTCAATATGACAAATCATTAATTACATACCTAATAGTCATTATTATCTTTATCTTTATTTCTTTAAATGTATAAAATCAGAAACAATCTTATGTATCTAGACATTGTAGTAATTAGTCATATTTTAGATAATGATTAAATATTTATCTTATTTATAAAGTAAGAGAAAATCAGGTTCTCTTATAAAAAAAGCAATTAATTAAGTAGGAGTACAATCAACATTCACGATGAATTCCAAAGGTCTCGAATTCATTAACAAAGTATTTACAAAAGAAATCTATACAGATGAGGCAATATCTAAAAAGGCGCTGTGATTAATGACCATTGGATGCTCTTTTTGAATTTTTTTTATTATTTTTTTTTAACAAAGATATAGTCTTATTGAAGTTGTCCTCCTATATTTTTTAGCTTGAAAATCTAATTGGACCCACAGGTGCCTATATAACAGTAACAGCACATAAAATTATTAAGGATAACACTTGACTAGTGGTCGTGTATTGATGAATTTATATACTAAGTCAATGAAAAAAAAAATTGAAATAAATAAATATTACTGTTTTATTTTTTTTTTCTCGGTGTATAGTGTGATATAGCCGTTTATTTGTGATTGATTTAGTGTATAAGTAGGTCCATACACTGTACATAAATAACCTCTTTCTCTATTATTAATATATTATTATTAGATAGAATTTAATTCAAAAACTTAAAATGAAGTGGCTATACTCAAAATCAACACTTCACTACTACTATATATCCCCTCCTCAGTTTCAACTCCTTTTCAATGGATTTCTTGGTACAAGCCACACCTCCAAATCTCCCAAAACCTGAAGACTCATCACCAGCCATCATGACTAATAATCACCCAACTAATACTCAAGAAAAAGAACAAGAACAACAAGACCAAAAGTCTAAGAAAAACAAGACTTACATGCTTCTTTTATCAATCAATTACTTGTGCCTTTTTATAGGTTCGGTCTCTTCTAGCTTACTGTCAAAGTTTTATTTCATTCATAAAGGTTCAAGCAGATGGGTTTCTACATGGGTTCAATCTGCAGGTTTCCCTCTTCTTCTTTTACCTATTTATCTTCCTTATTATCTCTTCAAATCCAACGAGAGGCGCCCTTTTAGCGGTTTCTCACCAAGAATTTTTATTTTATCAATCATGGTGGGTTTAATGTTAGGTGTAAACAACCTTCTTTTCTCTTGGGGAAATTCTTATCTTCCTGTTTCTACTTCTTCTCTTCTTTTATCTTCTCAACTCGTATTTAATCTGATTCTCTCTGTAATAATCGTAAAGCAAAAGATCACTTTTCAAAATCTCAATTGTGTAATTCTCTTAACTCTAAGTTCAGTTCTTTTAGCTTTAGGCTCAAGCCATGACAGACCTCAAGGGTTAACTCGGTCCAAATACTTCATAGGTTTCTTCTCCACCATAGGTGCTGGTTTATTGTTTGCTTTATACTTACCAGTTATGGAAAAAATATACAAAAATGTCTACAGTTATCAGATGGTAATGGAAATGCAGTTAATAATGGAAATTTCAGCAACCGCATTAGCCACCGCCGGAATGGCAACGGGCGGTGGATTTTCAGAAATGAAAAGAGAGAGTGAGCTGGTTTTTGATAAAGGAGAAAAATGGTATTGGGTTACAGTTTTTGGAAATGTGTTTACATGGCAGCTTTGTTTTATGGGAACGGCGGGCTTGGTTTTCTTAACCTCGTCGCTGACCGGAGGGATATGCATGACAGCGTTGCTGGCCATGAACGTGTTAGGAGGAGTTTTGGTGTATGGAGATGAGTTTGGTGGTGCTAAGGTGGTGTCCACTTTGCTTTGTGGGTGGGGATTTTGTTCTTATGTGTATGGTATGTACCTTCAAATGAAAAGAGAGGAAGAAAAAGAGAAAGAGAAAGAGAGAGAGAAAGAGAAAGAAAAGGAGAATAAAAATCTTGGGATAGAGATGGTTCATGTTGTAACAGCCAACAATGTTTAATGGTTACTGTATTAGCAGAATCAGATTATGCTTTATTTAGGAAATTTACATCTATATATGGAAAAAGAAATAAATTATTTTTTATTTTTTATTTGCCATGTATAAGAATATGATATTAAATAATGACATATATATATATATATAGATTTTTTTTTGTTTTGAATGGAAGAGTAAGCTTTATTCATCCATAATAAAATCAGAAATAATTAGAGTTTGGATATATAATCCGAAGCTCATTCCAATCATGTAAACGAGCATGAGAAAAAGCTGCTCATGCAATAGCATAAATTGTACCTTATATAAATTTTCTAAATTATTTAAAGATGACTTTATGTATATTATGTTTATATTAAGTTCATCTCTCTAGTTGGGTTATTGATAAATCATCATGTTAGTTAAAACTAACTAAATAAAAGATGTAAAAGAATTAAAATAGCATTTTTTTTAGTATATATGATTTTGTGATTTTCTGTGTAATTGGAGTTGATTTATTTAAAATATTATTAGTAATTAGCAAATTGCTAATATAATAGTAGTATTTTGAATATCAATTGTAAAATTTTTGCAATTAAAAATATGTAAAATTTCTCTTTAAAAAAATATGTAAAATCATTTTTAAATGTTAATTCAAAAATAAAAAACATTTAAAAAAGTGTGAAATTTTCTTTTTTTTTGGTACTACTATGACGGGTATTTTCCCATCTCCTTCTTAAGATAATAAATCGATCTCTTTTGACTTTTGCACCGGTAAACGATTATATTAAAAGTATTTTCTAGGATGTCGACTCTATAATATGATTCTATAATTACTGGAATTGGTTCTAGTACGCTTACTAATAATTTTTGACAAATAAACAAAAATACAGTTTATTAACTAAGTTAAGAGTAGATGAGTTAATTAAAAAAAAAAAAAAAGAAAAAAAAAGTAGATGAGTATATGAATGCAATCAACATATCATTGTCATTATCATTTTGAGGATTCATTATCATTAAACGTGTAGAGACTATAGTCAATAAGGAAATGAATGGAAACGTTATATCATTGTGTCATTAACTAAAAGTTGATTTTACAATAAGCATTTGAGACCACTGTCAAAATATTATTAATTATTTAATATATATAAAGCAATAGACCCACAAGAATTTTTTTTTAACATAATGTTCTTTTCAAATTCTTTTTAGATGATAGCCCTATTAAGCCTAACAATTAATTAAATATCCTAATTACTTATAAGCTCATCCAATTAATATAAATTTTTTTTTTTACCCTAATGAATTAGCAATCTCATTTGGTGGTGCATCACGAAGATTTTGGTCAACAAGAGCAATGGATAAAAAGATGATTCAAGAATAAAACATAAAAAATATAGAGACTATGATAAATTCAAATTGATGTAATTACATGCACTAACAAAAATATAAGAAATTAGTGGACGAAGTTATTCCTACTGTGCTTGGTGTGATCCGTTGATGATCTACTCTTATAAAATCAGGCAAGTTGGATTGTTTTTTTTCCCTCCTCTTTAGTTACGTATACACCACACACACAAAAAAAAAAAAAAAAAAAAAAAAAAAAAAAAAAAAATTGACTTTTTGCACCCGGCTAAAAGTATTATATTCAAAGTAATTTTCTGGATGGTCGACCCTCTGATCTGAATATGATTGTCTATAAATTACTGGCTATTGGTTCTAGTAAGCTTACTAATAAATTTTTGGGGAAAAATTTAAAGAATTATATATACGGAGGACGGCATTATATTAAGTTAATAAAAAATATATATATATATAAGAAAAAAAAAAGTTAGATGAAAGTATAGAGAGGGAGAAATACATATATGCATTCTTTGGGGGTCCAATAATATAATATTATGGGAGGGATTCCCATCTCATCATTTAAAGTGTAAGAGACTAAATAGTCCAATAAAGGAATATGTAATGGTCAAACCGGTTGTATAGCAATATTCATTGGTTGTGCATTGACATATATATAGGTTTGAATTTTTGTCGACCCCCAATATTAAGTCCATTTTGGGGGGGACAAAAACGCAAACGTCCCAATATAATATTTATTAAAGTTATTTAATATATAGAGTAAGGCTAGAGAGAGCCACGCAAGAAAATTTATTTTTTTTAATATTTTATACGCGGGGCGTATTACTTTCAAAAAAATGTATAGTCTCTTTTAGATTGAAATTAGCATATTATAGGAGAGAGGATGAGAGATTATGCCCGAGGAGTTACCTGAGAGAGCTCATATACAATTTAATATATATATATATTTATATATTTTTACACTGAAGGGAAGTGTAGCAATCTCAATTTGGTGGAGGTTTTCAAACTGTATAGATTTATAGGGGTTTACCAAGAGAATTGGAGAGATGAAAAAGATGAGTTCCCAAAGAAAAATAAAAACAATAAAAACGAGTAATTTAGAGACACACTGATAAATTCCAAATTTGATGGGATGAGCGGATTACCACAGAATTGCATACCTATACCAGAGAAACTTAATAAGGGAAATTAGGGGAGCGGACAGTTTATTCCTACTCGGGTGCTTGTGTGTGTATGTATTTTGATACTACTCTTATAAAAATCAGGCAATTAGATTTGGGTAATTGTTTTTGTTTTTTCCCTCCTATCTTTAGTTACGGCTATACAACTAAAACACAAAAAAAAAAAAAAAAAAAAAAAAAAAAAACAAAAGTCCATTAGCAATCAACTTCCGTTAAAATTCTATTCACGAAGATATAAAAAAAAAAAAAAAAAAAAAAAAAAAAAAAAAAAAAAAGTCATTAGCAATCAACTCGTTAAAAATTCTATCACGAGATATAAAATAGCGACCGACTGGACTCTGTCGCACTAAGATTTATCGCTAAGAATTCGATGACCGATGACCAATTCTGTCGCTAATTAGCGACACCTATATCTATTGTTGTACTTTATAAATCAATCTTTAAACCTAATTTATAAAATACCTGAAAATCAGTAGCTAGTTAATCGCTGATTCAACTGTTGTAGATCAGTCGCTATGCTATCACAAAGTCAGCCGCAAGTCTACCATTAAATCTATCTCTAATTTTGTTTTTAAATATTATAGTCCGTCGCCTCTCTGTCGCTATAAAAAAACAATTAAAATTAAAATTTTGAAGAATAAAAACTTTTCACTTATTAAAAAAGCGCGCGCGCACGCGCACACACACACACACACACACACACACACACACACATATATATATATTACTAATTGAAATCATTCCCACAAATTCAGACCACCAAAATACCATTAAAATATACAAAATACTTTTGTGTACAAAATATTTTACAAGTTAGAATGTAAAAATGTACAAAATAAACATAAAACATATAAAATAAGGCTAATGAGGTGAATCATGAAGATATATAGTAGTCAGAGAAGCAGATATGTCAGGCAGAATGGAAGAAGCTGATGAATTAGAGTGAACTGTCAGGGCAGAAATAGTGCACTAGGTTGGTCTCGAACATACATATCCATCAGTTGCTGCTGCTACAACATAATCTATGTAATCTACTACTGCTGCCTTTGAAGCTAAGCTCATAAATCTTGGATCTCCTCAGGACGCGCCTCTGGTTTAGCTAGTTTTCCTCTGCTTATTGAAGTCCTATGGGAGTAGTTGTAGAAAACCAAGGATTACGAACCAATGTGGTACACCTTCCTCTTCTTCTCGCTTCCTGTAGCCTCGAGATAAAGCTGGAACTCATCAATTGTAGGCTGCTCACCAGTCTGAGCTGACAGCGTTTTTTTTTTTTTCGCAAGTGTACGAAATCGCAACAAGTAGTATGTTTTTTCTTTTTTCGCAAGTGTACGAAATCGCAACAAGTAGTATAGAGTAAGAAAGTATCGTATCCACAGGGATTGTTTATTAATTACCAAAATTATGTTAATCTATTATTATTTAGACGACGATAAAGGAGATTCGCTGTAAGGTAAATAAAATTTAAAGTAAAAAAAAAAAAAAGAGATCAAACACAAAATTCAAGTGAAAAGAAATCAGAGGATTAAGCTACTAGGGAATTTGAATTCACTTAATTCTATCCAGCTTATTTCTATTATGTTTCATTTAATCAATTTTAATTGTTAAAGTAGGAGACAACCCTAAAGTCACTAACAAGCTCTCCCGATTTTTGTTAGTTATTCTAATTCAGTTTTCAATTACCTATTCTTTATAGTGAAATTAAACATAAATCAGGTATATTTTAGGTTTTATGCGTTGTTTTGTGAGTTTCACAACTTAATAATTTATTACTTATGAAAAACCTCCCTTGAGGTTCAAAACCAGTATAGCTTCCGCATCAAGTTTTATTATTCTCAAGTAATTATTATCTTTTTCATTATCAATAACCCTGTCTCCCGAATGTCAGTTTATTGAATAACTCAATCCAGGGGAAATTTTTTCTGCTGGAAGCCATTAAAGTCACCAATAATAATTTAAACGAGAACAAAGAAAAACAAATCTAAATATCATAAACTGGAATCAAATTAAGTTACATCAAATCCCTAGTATAAGAGTTTAGCTGGACTTAGTAATTAATTAAACTCATTCATGCTTTTGGCACATTCTTCATATTTAAAAGACAATAATAAAAGAGAAAGAAACAAGAATGAAAGATTTTAGAATAAAAACTGTTTATGCACAACTATGGTTGATGGCTCCTTGAATCTTGGCCAATTGTTTGATGCTTGAAAATCCTTGAGAGAAGAGAACGAATTATGTAAAGAAATTGGCCTTAAAAAACGAGAGATATCTGTTAGGAGAAGGTTCCCTCTTCTTTATTATAGAGTATATAGAGTTCTTGAAGGCAAGTTTGACTCCTTTTAGGAAATAGAATCCTTATTTAGTGCAAAATCCTTTATAGGAGATCATAACTGTTTAGGTTCTTGATTTTTTCTTGATTAGGACTCCTTTTTCCCCAAGAATAGGTCCAGGTCTTGTTTAGTGTGTTTAGGAAACTCTCCGAGGTTGGCCCATGTGAGAAAAAGCTTGATTTGCGCATTAAATTCTCGCTAGTTCCGCCTGCGCAGCACGGGCGTGCTTCCTAGCACGGGCTGGATGTGCTTTGAGGCACGGGCGTGCCAGGTAGCACGGGCTGGGCGTGCTTTTCTCT